GAGAATTAATTCACTGCTGTTTTAAAATTCCCTCTCAGTACACAGTAAGTCCCCAGCTGCTGAGTAAATTAGTTGAAAGTCGATTGGAAAGACTGTAAATAATCTTGATAATCCCAAGTACTTCTCTACGGAGAGTGTTTGGAATGGAAATGTCTCAGAAAGTCGCTCTTATATGCTACGCGGTTTGACGTTTTAATTGTCAATATTGGAGAATTGTTCCATGCTAAACTTTATTTTGAGGTTAATTATAAAACCACTGGAGCATATTTCAACTGTCTTTCCTTTTTTTAGGGGTTTTTAGGCTTTTTGCCTTATGCAGATTGTCTGTTTAGTGTGTGTGTGTGTGCGCGCCAGGCTTTGATAAGGTTGTTGTGTGACTAAGCCTAACAAAAAGGAAGTGAAACTACACTAATTCTATTAACTACTTCTCAGTCATATGTATAAGCTGCTACAAATGTAACCTTTTTATTCTTACAGGTTTTGTAAAGCACTATAATATCTCAATGCAGTGTGAGATGTGATAAGTTGAAGTTCAACCATATTCACGTTTAGCAATAGCTCACCTATTATTTTTTTTCTTCATCATCATCTGCTGCTCCTGCCCCTCATCTCTCAAGGCCAGAAGTGGCGCAGACCAGCTGTACAGCTCGGGCTCTCGGAGCTGCCCAAAGAAAACCATTCTGCTCCCTTCTTCCTCCTCCACTTCCTCGCTCTCTCTCCACTCAGAGGTGACACGCAGTCTGCCATCTGTGTCTGTTTGTGTCTTTCTGTCTTCGGCCACAAATCCATGGCCGACCCATTTAGTATCCCCTTACTCTCCTGCTCTAATTATGTGTCCCGAACCCCTGATTTGGCCTCTGCAGTGTGTAGCATAGATGAAAACAAAATGCCGTGTTTCCCCAGGAGGGCTTCAGTCTTGTTTACTTCCCTTGTGAGTGGGTGGTGTCTGTTATTATCAGAGTAGTAGCTTGTTTTCATGCTGACTGGTATATGTTGTTGGGGTGTGATGGCTTGTAAACATATAGCCTCAGGAGGCCTGGGCTCATTTTGATTTATTGTCAAGCACTGTCAGGGTTCCTGCATTACAAGCTGTTCTTTAAATGATAGTCAGCAACTGTGTTTTATGCTCATGTCTGTGCGCTCGGTGCCAACTGAAGTGTTAATACACTGTGTGTGTGTCTGCTCATTTCTGTCTTCAAGCATGAAAGTAAAAGTCTGGAAGAAGAGGAACTTGAATACTATGAAAGGCCTCTGGCACACGGGGTAAATGACCGACTGCATTCATAGTCGTCTTGCCTCTGCCGCTTCTGTTTCAGTGGTTACTCAGATTATGGCTCGAGTATCTGTAATAAGCTGTTTTAAAGAAAAAATGTCAACATATTAAACAAGTCGCTCATTAGCTCCACCAAAAGAAATCGAGTCTCAACTGAGCTCCCTTGACAGGAGTGGATGCCACTGCACCCAACTGACCCAGGACCCATTCGCATACCTGGTATACAGGAGAGGGCTGAGCGCTTAATCTCCAGGTTTAAAGGCAAACCCGATAAACTACCAAAGGTGAACACTGTACATGAAAATTGCGGTTTCTAAGTGTTTTATTTGCCTCATTTTGTAGCCTACATCCAAGAAAGCACGCTAATGGTATTGGAGGCTAATTGTCACCCCTTCCCTCTCCCTCCCCGAAGCCTAAGAAAAAGCCGTCCCGTTTCTTTTTAGAGCAGTGGTACATGTCCCGAGGCCTGACTGGGGCTCCTGGTTCACCACTCTCCTCTCTTGACTCTGCCAGAAAGGTTCTTTTTTATTTTTTATTTCTTGGATGCTGTGGACTGAGACTCAACCTGTGGCATGTCAGGAAACTTACCACTCATAGAAAGATTTTTGCTACTAACAGGTAGGGCTGCCACAAACGATTAGTTTGATAGTCGACTAGTCACCGATTATTTTTGCGATTAGTCAACTAATCAGATCATCATCCATTGGACGTACAGC